TACACTTAAATTATATTTATCCCTGTGATGGCCATTACTCCAGTCTTCAGTGTCACATTATAACTTAATCATTTATATTATTTATTATTTATATCATATAAATTCTAAAATCACTGTAATATCTTTTAGTTACACCCCCCCTAGTGGATAAAAAGCTAAACTTTCAGCAGCCCTTACTCTAGTCTTCCTTGTTGCATTTTAACACACCTTAATAATTTATATTATTTATTTTTATATAATTTTATACATCTTATTATATAGTTATATTTCTAAAATCACTTGTACTGTAATAGATTTTAATTATACTGCCCCTAGTGAAAAAATTGGTAACAAAAACTTCCCAATTACAAGCAAGGACATTAGAGACAATAAAGACAATATCAATAACCGACTAGACCTCCAAAAACACCATAGAAACCACCTAGAATGCTCTAACAATACCTATTCTCTACAGAAAATACATACATATAAAGAGATGTAAAATATAAAATAGCAAGCACAGGAAACATGTTTGAGGATCAGGAAAATATTCACCACAGAATTCTGTGTCACCTCTCGAAGCCCTTGGCTCACATTTTCAGCCCTGTCAGGTGTTTGTTCAGCTAACACACACACACACATGTCTGGTTTGCTATCCTTGTGGGGACTCTTCATAGGCATAATGGTTTTTATACTGTACGGACTGTATTTTCTATTGCCCTACACCAAAACCTACAAAACCAACACACTGTCAGAAACCACAGAAAATATTTTCAGTATGATAGGAGAGCATTAGTTTTAAACTAGATGTTGTTTAATGTGCAAGCTCGGATTGCACACTCAAGGAGAAGAGATCAGATCTATCATTTACACTGGCAACCATGCAGGATTTACTGTCTTTTAGTCTCAAATGTCTTTTCATTAATCTACAACAACATATCTCATAACGATGACGTGTGTGTGTGTGTGGGGGGGGGGGGGTTAATTGAGTGTGAAAATCAATTAATGCAGTTCTGGAGATATACCAAAGATTTTTTTTCCCTGATGGATCGTCATGCCTGTTGCCATGGAGCAGTGTTGAGAAAAAACACAACTAGAGTGCATGGTCAGAAGATTAGCCTTAGACAAGAAAAGAAAGGAAGAGGCACATAATTATCATTCCGGATAAGTAAAAGACGGAGCAATTATGTTGATTGGGCAAAAATATGGTATTTAAAGGAGGCCACATGGGTTTTGACTTCACTTATTATATTAACAATAATCAAGGATAATAATTTGCTGCAATCTAAACTTGGTTTTAGCACACACAGGGATGAGTTATGGTGGTCAACTAGTTGACAAGTGGTAAAACAACCAATTAACAGCCTAATTATCCTTTAACCTACTAGTTGATATAGAAAATGTTGTTTTACACATCGTAACAAGCGCGGTTCTGCATACACACATATTAAAGGTCTATTTCTCTGTGCAGGAGAGTCAGCGGCTCGCGTATTGCATATTACAGCAAAATTATTTGCTCCATAAACCTCCCCTGTGCACCAGCACCATATCTATCATTCAGTGCTGACGGGTGTCACAGCTATGAGAGAATCCCTGCTCACCAGAGATAAAGCACAGAGGGCACAGGACAAATATATCTTCTTTAGAGAAAGCCCCATGCACCTGCCATCCAGAGGTGTAAAGTATTAAACAATTCAGCCGAACCCAGAAAAAAAACTAAGCAGATTATTGAAGAATGGACTGTTGAACAGAGCATATATGAACCTGCTGTACATTCCAACATTGAAATGGAACAAAGGTTTAAAGGGTAGAATACATTTTAGAATAGAACATCAATCTGTTCCTCATGGGAAGTTATTTTCTGACTGATCAGAGTACTTTATACTTACAATATATACAATATAGTGCATGAACCACAGACTATTTGTTTGTCATTTTTGAAGCTTAAAGGAATAGTTCACCCAAAAATAAAAATTTTCTGAACATTTTCTCACCCTCAGGTAATACAAGATGGAGATAAGTTTGCTTCTTCATGTGAACAGATTTGGAGAAATTTAGCAGTGCATCACTTGCTCACCAGATCCTCTGCAGTGAATGGGTGCCATCAGAATGAGAGTCTAAACAGCTGAGAAAGCAATATTATGGATAGAGGACTCGTATTTTAACCAAAAAGCAATGATTTGAAGTTAAAAACGTCTTGAATATTTATTACAAACATGCAACTTTTCACTTCACATGATGTTAATTGATGGACTGGAGTCATGTGGATTTCTTGTGGATTATTGTGATGTTTTTATCAGCTGTTTGGACTCTCATTCTGACGGCACCCATTCACTGCAGAGGATATATTGGTGAGCAAGTGATGTAATGCTACATTTCTACAAATGTGTTCTGACAAATAAACGAACTCATCTACATCTTACTCACCTGAGGCTGAACACATTTTCTGCAATTTTTCATTTTTTGAAGAGCTGTGTAAAACTTCTTCAAAAGTACTCCTTCTGTTCTCTTGTTGCGTTCTATAGGAACAAAAAAACAGCATGCAGGTTTAGAACAAATTGAGGATGAGTAAATAATGACAGAATTTTCATTTTTGGGTGAACTCTCTTGCACTGTATATATGATCTATTGTTTCATGCTTTTTTGTCTCAAATAAATAAGAAAAGCCGAAAGTATGAGATAGCACGGCTTTGGTTTAAAAGAGTACAAAAATATTTGTTATTGGCCATAACTTATGGGGAAAAATAGAGCAGACACTAGACATGGATGAAGCTTTCAAGAGCACATGTGTCGACCGCCCGCATTCACGCACAACATAAAATAGAGTATACTTTGAGTTTGAAATGCTACACGTTCAACTGTACGCATATGCTAGTGTACATGTACAAAAACGAAGTATATTTGGGACTTTATAATTATGAAGCAACTGGATTAAAGAGAAGTCAAAGAATGTTCAATTGTAAGTGCATTATCGTTCACACGGTTGCTTAGGGACGAGTCTAAATTACTTTGTGGTAATCGACAGCATTCCACACATGCAGTCAATACAGCTTCAGTTATATTTGATACAAATCCAGGGACTGATTATGGATGATGTCTACGTTCCATAATATACTACTTTTATAAAACAGTAGCAACAGCAATATGATTAATCATACCATGCCTGAATGCCTGTTCACAGTTTAAAAGCAACATAGCAAATTGGTACAGTACATTAATATAGAATGTGTGTTGATAGGTTTGTGTTTATCAGTATTCTCCAAAGGCTTTGAGCATGTCTGAACCACTGTACAGTCGGATTATATTTAAGCATCTACAAAATTATATAACTCCGTTCATCCCTGGCTTTAAAGCTGCTCTGATCTTTGAATACTACATAAGACAGTGTGAAAGTTTATGAAAATATATCACAGATGGTATAAGCAGCAGACAGCAGGTCCTACAGGACTGTAACAGAATTCTGACCCGAACTAAACAAAACAAAACACCCACACTGGATATGCTTCTAATAAATGTAAGTTTAAAAGCAAATGACAGGGTTGGAAAAGCAGGGGTGTTAGAGTGAGAGCATGTAGTGTGTTGTAAATAACACTTGTGCGTGTAGTGTTGGCAGGATAGTGCTCTCTGAACACTATGAATCAACGTGGCAGAAGTTGAAGATGTCAGCAAGCTTCTATTCTTTCAATTAGTTTCAAATGCTCTTAAAACAGACCTTACAGCACTCTAACAGTAGGCTATCTATTTTTGCCTGAATATTCAGTGTCCTGTGATAAATGGTAATGTTCACTCACTGCTCTTACCAATCAACAGCTGATGTTGACAGTTACGAGATATATTTTGCATCTTGTTAAAATGAACATGTTGTCAGCACTCTGTGGTAACATGACACTGACAGGCAGCACTAATCTGCGGATGCGCTGAGTCTTAATGGATAAAGATCAGTGTAACTTAAATTTGAACAATCTCAGGTTTTTCAACAACTTTGTGCTACAACTTCAGTTTAGGCAGAGTCTGACACTTTAACACACTGATACTGGTTTAAAGAAAAACGTTTTAAGATAATGCAGTCTAATAACAGAAGTAACATTCAGCTACAATTACAGAAATGAATGAACATACAAATGATAAATAGAGGAATAAAAAGTTGGATCTGAATGATATGAAACCCCCCCCCCCCCCC